CAAGGGATAAAACAGAGAGGGCAATTCATCTCTTAGCCAAAAGAAAAAAGCTGGCATTTCTCTCCTGTTGAAGAAACACAAGTGTGACAAAAAGTCTGTGTGACATTGAATAGAGATTCAATTCACTGCAGAAATCTGTAAGCAAGCATTTTCCTTGGAACAATTGCATTTACTGTAAACATTTGCCTACATTATGATCAATAATTATACAAACAAAAAAGGTAGCTCTGTATCATAAAATGTAACCATTAAGGTAGAAAAATATTGTTTAAGGATATCTGAGTCAGAAAGCTATGGGATCCTGATTTATTGATGATACAAAACCAGTCAGACTCATCCCTAATATTACAATTTCAATAGACACCTGATTCAGTTACACAACTAACATGTAGAACTTATTACATTTGCTTGTCATTACTGACATAACCTCTTTCTGTTCGCATGGCATTTCACACTGTGAAAAGCTCAATGTCAACAGATTGAAGACAATTAGGAATATTCCTTCCTTGCTCCTCTGTTGTATATTATAAAAATAATAGTGTAGTCCCATACTACACTGTTCTGTCGACATTATTCTTGAGCTGAGATGTGCATATAGCTCATTTTGATCTCAGCCATTCCTTTCTGCAATGGTAGAGTTGTTATCAAAGTTCCAGAATGAAAATGTGGAATACTTCTGGGGACAACAAATTTCACTCATTTGAGACCCAAACAAAGGAAAATGACAGAGGAGAACTGTTTTGGTGTAAATAAACTGTACCTGTTGCTCTGTTTAGTATGCAACAGTGCAGTGTACAGTTTTTAAGACTGCAAGCCCTGAGAACGTTCAAAGAAAGCCTGGAGAAGGCAGAGGGGGGAAAAAAAATTATTCCTTTTCTTAACCACTTCCACTTACAATTCAATTTAAGCCCAACTGCTGGGAGTTCATGGAATAGACAGGAAAGGTTCTTTTCTTTTCCAGGATCTGAAATGGTAATGACTCTGTAAGTAAGAAAACTGCTCTGTTTTAATATTTAATTATCAAAGTTCTGTGCTCTGGTAATACAGGCGAAGGAAGAGGCAGAAAATTATCATCTCCCTTGAAGAAACCTGAGTAAGAAGTAATGGTAAAAGGATTATTAAGATTCCTGTGGTGATTTAAAGTGAATGTTAGACATTTACCCTTGATATATTCACAAATTTCTAGCTCTTTTCCATATTCTTCCATTTTCTTCTCACATTAAATGAGACATTTTGACCCAAAGTGTTGTGTAATATTATTGTATGTTATTAAAGAAGGGAGAAGTGATTTCACAAAAGCAGGGAAGCAATTCTTATGTATTACTTACCTTCATCAGAAGAGGGTGACAAGGCTATACTAGTAAATTGTCTTAATATTCTGAATGAGAGATATCACAGGAAAACACAGAAGTGTATGTTTGTTACCATGCCCTGGCCAAAATCATTGATCCTAGAAGTTTATTTTAACCCTTTTGATTAATTTAGGGTCATTATAGTCTCCTGTGCCATGAGCTGCAATATTTGAAACCTCATTAAACCTATAACCTTTCACTTAACCTGTTAGCTCACTGTTTCCTTCTCTGTGGTAGGCCTGGAAGCAAAGGATTTACACACTGGAGGTCACTGTATTATTATTGCAATATTCAGCCAGCAGCACACAACCCCAACATCCCTTGCATGAAGAAAAAATGCAGAGAGCCAAGATCAGGACAGAGACATTGACTGCATGTGAGCACGAGTATGTCTTTCTTGATGCTGTTGTAGGCAGTCCTACCAATGACCTGTTATTCACGACATTCAAGGAAGACAGCCTAGAATCTGATAAGGCAGTAGAACCACATACCTGGAAGAAGACCTGACCATAGGCAGAATATGCATTTTTAAGGCTTTTTGGAAACACTGTGCAATGTTTGGTGACAATGCATATACCATCTTTATTAAATATTGAGGGTTTCTGTGGGGGGAAGCCCCACAATTAAAGTTTGAGGTAGTGCAAAAGTGAGGCCATGTTCCATGGGAGCAGTGGAGCTGGTTAGATGGTTTCCATGGACACGGCCTTGGGTTGCAGGGAGTACAAGGTTAAGACAGTTTGATAATGTGCAGGTGCTTGGATTCCTGGGTGTTGTTGTGGGAATATGTTTGTGTTGTGTGTGAAGTTGGCAAACTCAATAAAGGCTGCCTGCTGTACTGAGCAGACAGACATCTCGTCTCACTATCCTTGTGTGTCTTGTGTGTCTTGTGCGTCTTTCTTCCCCCACCGGACCAGGCCTCAAGACAAGATACCCTGCGACAGGTTTCCACTCTCCTCATGTTTCAAATGCTTACTCTCTTTCACTGTTTTTATCTTGTTTACAACAAATAAACAGTGATTTAAGTGTTCTTGAAATTTATCCAAATACCATTTAAGAGCCGTGATTTCTTAAAAGGATTATATTACTTCCAAAATTAGAGGCAATGAAACATGGCTCTGTCAGTCCATAAGGATTGCATGACTCAAGAATAGTGTGAACAGTCCTGTGCCCCAGGCCTTTCACAAGCCTTAGCTCGACTCTGCCAGAGACAACAGCACACAGCAACAGAAATTGCTCTAGTGAGAATGAAAGCATCCTGCCCCACAGAGTGGCCTGTATGCAAGTCCTGACCATGGCAATCAACTACCCCTCAAAAAAGCCTGAAATCATGAAGTGCTTTTGTGCATTTTGACAAAATCCATTGGCTGCTGCCATCCATTTGTGTTTGAGAGACAAGGTTGTATAATAATGATCTGAATGGGAGCAATGCATTATCTGAGCCATTATGAGCAGTAAAACAGGTGTAAAGGAGGAGCCTATGACCCTATGCTCACACATTTCACTTACGGAGATCACTCGTGGGTGATTGCTTAATGGCAAACCTTACTGCTACAGGAAAGCTGACAGAATTCCTTCGTAATGATCTCTGGCAACCTAAGCTATGACTAAGCTATGACTGTGTACTGACCCCTCTGGAACCTCTTCCCACAGCATCAGGTATGCAGGGAGTAACTGCTGAGCCAGGCATGTCTGTGTCCCAGAAGTACCTTTGGTATAATAGGTACCATAAGCCTAAAATTAGACAGTTTTTAAACTTAGATATGGCAGCAACAAACTTTACAATAGGTCACAAGTCAACTACTTCTTTGTTTTTCACCATTTCAGGTAACTTTTCTTCATTGTGCAAAACTGTTGGGTTTTAGCCTGTGAAATATTGCTCTCCTGTTTTGATCTTTTGGCATGTGTCTTTACAAAGTGTCACCATAATACACACAGGTGTGGAAAACATCTGCACTCTGAGGCACCACACCTCACCCTCAACCCTGCCAACAGTCCTGTCAAGGCCATCAGCACGCAATCAACTTGTCTTCAAGTCTGTCCCAACAACGTTGTTCTGTGTATACATGATTCACCTAATTATTCACACACAACTAATAAGAGAAAGCTTTCTTCACTGTTTCTCATGATTATAAAGACTTGTCTTGAACATCTGTTTGGAATGATCAACTTTGCTAAATGTAAGACATTTAAACTGAGATAGTGTGAATCTGGGAAACTTACGGCTTCCCTGAGCCATGACCTCTGTATGTTTTCCAGAAGAGCAAGAGGCTGAGGAGACAGAGCGGAAGATGACAAGCAAAGGACTAACCCAAGTTTAGCAGTGTCATTATGACCAGTCATGAGGGCTCAGGAGTTTCTGTTGCCAGAATGGTTTTCTGTGACTGTGCATTGTGCATACAGTCAGTATTGTTACCAGTTTAAAAAAATGGCAGAGCTAGCTTCTGCCAGGCAGAAGGTGGAAGTGATAGAACTGGGCTAGGAAATCAGTAGTAATGGACATGTATAGTAACTACTCAGGAACAGATATGCATTTTTGGCTATCCAGAGGCGCCAGTGTCATTTTGCCCCCAGACATATCCATCTCTAGACAGATTTGGGTTGCTTGGCCACTCATACCTGAGCATGAAACCATCAGTGTGCATCCGAGAGGGGTCACAGGCAGGAGGACGGGCTTTTGCAAAGCAGCAGGGAGGAGGGAAATGAGAGTGCAGCACATCACCATTGTTCATCTCTCAGTACCAGCAGTGTGCAGATAGGCTCTGCATTTGGTTGTCCATGGCAGTGTCCCCAGCCCTGTTGTAAGGAATGTCACCAGTGGGACACCTGGCAGTGGCTGTGGGGTGAGTGTGGTCCCATGAGGAATCGGCCTCCCTGATGTTCTGCCTCTCAGGGCCTGCAGAGCTCTCAGCACACAGGGCATTTACTGCACCAGGCTCTGGAGAAACATGTAACCTGAATTCAAGTTTTGTGTATTGTATGTTTATGAAGATTAACTGACTTTGAATTTACGCTCATAAGCCAAGTGCAGCATGCACAAACACCGTTGAGCTTATGTTGTGTTTATTTATTCTGTTGTACTTATGTTAACGGGATGCCACTGTTTTCTCTAGTCCAAGTGAACAATGTAACACTTCACTCGTGCTGGTGCCTTTCATATTAAAAAGATTTATCATTGTAATACCTACATCTTGTAGAGGATAGCTTAAGGGCACGCCTCACATAAAGTCCTTGAGAATTCTGAAGCCAACAAGGCAGATTTTTTAAAAAAATTCTACCGTTTATGACTGAAGAGGACGAAACCTCCGTGCTCTGGGGAATGCGATCCCTCCGGGGCTGGCCTCACGGCGCTGTGGGACGCCGGGGGCAGCCACACTCCGCTCTCTCCTGAGAGCCGGAAGGGAGATCACGGCCGCAGCAGGCTCTCCTGCCGGACCCCGCAGCGACGGCCAAACTCCGGCGCGCCCAGCGGGCCGGCCCGCCCTGCCTCCGGGAGGGGGCTGCGCCCTCACCCAACATGGCGCCGCCAGTTTCTCCTGGGGCTGCTAGCCAAGATGACGCTATTCTCCTGCGGGCTCCGCGGAGCTTGCCCTTGTCCAACATGGCTACCGCTGCCCTACTGCTTCCGGCGGCAGCGGCGCTCGTTGGCCTTCAGTCAAGATGTCTGCACGCGAGGAGTGGCGGGGTGTCCTGGCGGCCGCGGTGAGGGACCGAGGTAAGCGGCCAGGCGGCCGGCGGGGCCTGCGTGAGCGGCGCGGAGAGGCTAGGCGAAGGGAGGGCTGCATCTGCCGCCGGGCAGGGGAGAAGGAAGGCTCCTCGCAGCGCGGCCGCTTCTGGGGATCTGGGCACCTGCTCGGCCGTGAAATGGCGGGTCGGGGCCTGGCCGGGGCCTGTGAGTTCCGCTGAGGTCTGGGCAGGATGTGGGGACGGCGGGGTGCGCCTGGGGGACTCCAGCCCGTTGTGTCCCAGGGCCCTCGCTTTCCTCCTCCACAAGGAGCAGCGTCTGAGGATTGTAAAAATTTCCAGCGATATAAATGAATTAGTTGTAAGAGGCTTCTCGAGGTTTTCTTCATTGGAAAAAACAAAATAATCCGAAAGCTTCTTCTTTCCCCTGCAGTAGAACTTGCTAATTCTTTATTCAAAATATAAAGGACTGTTCAAGATTTATAAGATTGTTAAGTATTTTGCATAACCAGAAAACTGAAAATCAAACGTTGGAGTCCTTTCCAGTTACCGACTCTGTACGTAATTACCTATGTGTAGGTAACTGTGTATGTACAATATACAAATATAGAGCAATGTGTATATACATATAACCTGTGTGCATACCTGTGTGTGTAACTTAGGGCACCACAGGGAGGCTGAAGAGGCTGTTCATCAGCTGCTGTTGGCATCCAGCTGTCTGTGTACCAGCAGCATTTAGGAATGTTAACTTGGCATATGTGTATGCCATAAGTGCATATGTGTGTCACTTCCATAAGATGGGAAGAAACTCTTTAAGTTGCTCTCATAAATCTCAGAAGTTGCTTCATGAGTGATGATCTGTCTTGACAGATGCACCCCAGTGGCAAGCAGCACCAAGTTTACACGTACAGATTGAATAATCAGCTTCATACCTGGCTTCTCTTCAGAACTCACATTTTTGCCTATACTTCTAATCTGGCACTTCACCAGAGGGACTTTGGGAATTTTTCAGTGTTTTTTTACCACATAAACAGAGGTCATAGGACACTGCTGTCATGTCCTGGGTTCAAGCTGCAGTCAGCCGATCCAACGAGGATATATTTGATGAAGATGCAGATGAGATGTATCTGCTACAGAAGGAATGGAACAGCACCATGAAAAAAAGATTGAAGGTATTTCTATAAAAATGATTTAATAGTCTTTTTAGCCATTTTAGGTTTACTGATTCATACCTTGATATACATATGGATGATATAAAGGGAAAAGTAAGAGTGGCTGCTTAAAAGTTATTATGGCTTAGTTTCTTCTAAATATCAGGAAAATGTAGCTGGAATTTAGGGAAACTCTTCTTAGTAGTCATCACAGCAAAGTACTGTTTTACCAAAAGACATTGGATCCCTGTGCACAAGCACATGCATTTGTAAAAGGCAGTGCTGAATTATGATGCAAGCTATTTGCTTTGTACGTGTAGCTATACCCCTAGTAAATGTAGGGCCAACACAGCTGAACAGTGCTAATAAAGAAATATGAGATGCTTGGGCATTTAAGTAGAGTTTATTCATCAGTCAGATTGTAAGATGTGAGACTCCACATGCAACCACCATTGGGCATTGTGGTCTGTGTAGTTCTTTGGTTGATATATTCTTCTGGTGAAAAATGTATTTTATGAAAGTTGCTTTCCACAGCCCTTGCTCCCTGGAGTTCTATAGGGAACAAAACAAGTACATAAACAGGTTAGTTCAACAGATACATTATGATTCAGAGTGGGGCCAGTAGGGCTCATTTGCTCACTCACAGGTGAGCAGCATTTGGCTGAAGAACATGGAAAGAAGCTGTTGCGTAGGCTGTTCACGAGGAAGGTTATTACAGCAGAGCTGGTGTATTACTGTCCAAGGAAGTTTCCTGCATATGAGTCCCTTGAAAAGACTGGCTTTCTTAAGGGGCTGTTTAGTATTCTTACACAAATCCCTCTGATGTTTGTGAGTAGAAACTGCAAAATCATACAGTGTTGTGGAAGTTAGAGTATGTTGGGCAAAAACCAAAAAAACACAAGTATTTGTGTTCCTAACTGTTTTTCTTGCAAGGCCACCAGTTTTCTCATGAGCAAATGGGAGTTTTCACTCTTACAACTTGCAATTTTGGTGTGAAAAAAATTAAGAATTATTCTGTGCTATATATAATATATATATTATTCTGTGCTTAATGTGATTAGAATATAAAGAAATTAATTTGCATTACAATCATTAACTGTTTCTTACAGAAAGCAGTCACAATGTTATGTGTACTTATATGTGACTCAGTCCATCACCATCTTTTTTTCTGGTATAACTATTGAGTTGAGTGAGATCTAGCAAATAAAAGAGCAATGCTCAACAATTAGTTTTGGAAGAACAGGTGGATGGATTACAGACAGGAGAGTACTCTGCCAAGTACTACTTGGCAGCCTGTTTATTTTTTAAATAGAAAAAAGAAGTCTAGATGTGGTATTCTTAAATGAATTTTTCATAAAGAACTTGGTCATCATAAAAGCAAGCATGCTTTCTTCCAGATTTGTGTTATTTTTGTTTATCTTTCTAAGAATACTTTCCCTATTTTTTGATCTTCTGGGGATCCTTTTGAAAAAGAACTGGACCTTACAGGTCAGTAAATCATAATGCACTGCAAAAAGCATGTTTTGGTTTGGCAATGGGTGTGTAGCTGTGAGGGATGTTCAAATCTAGAAGCTGTAATTTAAGAGATTGAATACTTGTTCAAACTTTTTTTATTGTTATGCATTTGTCATAGGTCCAATTTGTCATCTTGTGAACAACCTGTTTCACTGCTCTTATTATAGGAAGGCTATAGGGATGGAGTTGAGGCTGGGAAAGAACTTGCACTCCAGAAAGGCTTTAATCAAGGTTACAGACACGGTGCCGAGCTGATGATTACATGTGGCCAGTTCAAAGGAACCCTGAAGTAGGTTACAAACTCCTTAAGGTTAAGTGCATGTGGAGAGTGTGTATGAAGGAACATGCATGCAACTTTTTGTTTGTTTTAATTTAAAAACAAGTGCATTGTAAAACTGCCCAAAGTGAGGAACCTGAGAATTCTCAGGCCTTGAATACAGGAAATTGCTTACCTGGGTGTAGAGTGATCATTCTTGAAAACCTCCTTCAGTTGCTCTTCCAAAATTAACTGAATCTTCATCTTTAAGCTTAATACTTAGTTCTACTGCTTGAATTATCCATAAAATGTGAATGACACGTACACTTACATAGCATTGATATCTTGGCACATTGTTATCTGCCTTCACCAATTGGAGGTCTGTGTAGATACATATAATCACTTTTGGTTTTGTTCACTTTTCAGTGCTCTCTTATCCTGGTGTCATTTTAATGGACATGATTCTGCTTTAAATAAGATAAATAATCTTCTTGATGTGGTTGGAAAGCATGAAGAAGATGTGCTTAAGTATCTGAATTCTACTGAAGAACAGCCACATCTTAGACATGTTTTAGACTCTGTTGAGGACATGGACCTTAATCACACAGCTTCAGCTGGGACAGAGTACAAGGAAGTTAAAGATGGAAACCAAGAGGATGGTGGCGGCTCTGGTGAAAGCATTTGTGGAAATAATGTTAAGGCTGGTTCCTTGCAGTCTGAGTGCAGCAAGGCAAACCTCTGCACAGATCCTGAAAGGTCAACGCTTGCTTGGGTTAAAAAGCAGACTGTTTGGCTGGTAGAGCAACTGGGCTTATCATTGGATATACTCCATCATGTCCAGCAACTGGAACATTAATTTTTCTGTCTCATGGTACTTAAAATTATCTCAACTAGTTTTGCTTCTCACTTTGTGGACCATATACAGGCTGATGCATCACTTTGTTTTAGGAAAATCTGATCTTGATACTTTCCAGTAAAAGTAGTTTCTGTAAATCTTCGCTATGCCTTTGGCTCCTGGCAAAACCCCTCACTTTTAATCTTAAGGTAACATGACAGAATGGGGCAATGACTCTTAAAGCTCTCCAAAGAGTTACTAAACATGTTTCTGTTCTGCATCAGAAGCTCTCATTTCACTGTCGCCTTCTCTTGGCAGGAATTTGGAAATAAAGTGGGTCCATTAAATAGCCCCTCTAATATGGTTCCCTCTGCTATCTAAAGAATAAATGCCTAGTGCTATGGACAAGCAACTCTTGAAGAATAAGCTGCTGTTGATGATATGCTAAATATATGCAGAATAGAACAGGATTTGCTGCTGATTCCTAGAGTGCTGTGACTCTAGTCATTATATAAAATACAGGAATTTTTCACCTTTTGTCAAATTCTTTCTCTTATCTTTTGTAACCACTATACAGTGCATTTTCACAGCTAAAAACTACTTTTTCCTCCTTATACAATTCTGTTTATTTCGGTTTTGCTGAAAATACACCATTTTTCTCAAATTCAGAATTACTGACACTTCCACTGTTTTACTCTTAGACTCTTACCCTGTCAGACCACACTAAACATGCTTTCAGTCTAATGAACATCCTTGTGTTATTTTTGTATTTATTTTGCCAGTCCCTCAAGCCTGAACTCTTTCCCACATTCCCATAATGTTTTTCTCAAACTCTTTAAGGAAGCCAGGCTTATTCACCACCTCTTAGAAACACGTCAGCCACACATGCATATTTCTGACCACTTTGTATTTCTATGCCAGCATTCTATATTTGAATCATTTTCTTATTGCTTGTCTTAACTGTAGCTGTAAACTGCTCTGTTCAGGAAGTTTTTTCTTGGTGAATGCCTCTCTCTATTTTACACTAATTAAACTGTTTTATAGTAAGTTAAGAGTTTGCTTATTTTAAGTTGCTCGTAACCCTCCTTCAGATCTGAGACAAAGCAAGTCTAGACAGAGACAAACTAAAATTTTGAACAGTCGACTATACTCAAAGAAAAAAAAAAATCCAAAAAACCCCCCCAAAACACTTCCATACTTTGAGGCCAGAAAAAAACTAAGGCAAAAATTACTTGATTTTCAGAACCTGAGTTCACAGCTTTCTTACTAAAGACACTGTTATCCTGTCACAGAGGTGGTAGAGTGTAAGTTTGGTTGGCATTCAGTACCTCTTCTGCTTTAGGGGTAAACAAAACTGCAGTTAAGAGTGTTATTGAACCTGTTTCTGAAATAGTGGACAAATAGGGCTGTCTGCATTAATTGTGTCTGTACAAAATTTTTCAAGTAACTTTTTCTCCATTTATTTAGCATAATGTTGACGTGGATAAACATTACTTTTCTACAAGTGCATGTGTGTGTTATAGACTGTATCATGTATGTTAAACAGAGATTTCTTCCATATTGTGGTAGAATAAAGGTTACTAGAGTAGCGTTAGACTTTCCAAATTTGAATGTTTAAAAATGCAAATTCAAGGGTATTACTTCTACATCTTTAATAGTTTGCAAAGAGGAAACACCTTTCACAAATTACTAAGTAGACTTTTTTTTTGCTTATCAAACAATAGATTTTATTTGTCTATCATAACAGCTTCTGCACTAGCTATGGAATTAATTTTCCTCCACTCTGCACAAAGTTTCTGTTCTTGGTGAGAGGTTACTTTTTTCCATGTTATCACCCAGAGTTTCCAGTTTGGCTGTGGAGAGATTTTCTTCTGTGCTGTCTGTAATACTTGGCTTATCTGTCACTACCAAATCATGCTGACCAGCCACAGAAGGGCTTTCTTTGAGACTATTAGAATCTGTAATTTGCTCAGATGGTGGTTCATGTGGTTGTTTTGTGTCTACATCCATATCTTGTGTGTCGCTATCAGCTTTCACCTTGGCAGCATTCCTGAAAATAGCTCTCATGACAACTGGGACTGACATGCAGCTGAAGAAGGAAATGACACATTAGTCACTAATACAGACTACATCCATTCTTTAAAGTACTTCTGTTTTTTAAACTGTGGCTGACACCAGAATGAAAAACAGCTCTACCTCTTTGCATCTTTTTGCCTCATAAAACCAGGTGTTACATTGTAACCACAATATAAACTACATGTGCTGCACCAGAAACAAATACAGTGCTGGATCTTTGAACTTAGTGGTGCAAAGAAGTTTTGAAAGAGTAGGAGGGTTTGGTCAGAAAAAAAGTCATAAGGGTGCTTCTGATGAAAACCTAAACCAATAATGTTGAAATACATTAATTCTTGCTGAGTTTTGTAACTTTCATGTTTTGTATAAGACAGGTAGAGAGCATATCTTTTTTCTAAAACACTGTCTACACTGAAGGAGGTTTTTCCCCCACTCTTAACATGACTCCAGTTAAATACTACGTAGTTTAAAGTTGGGTTCAAAATCCAGCCTACATTGATCTTGTTGTTATCAAACAGATAATAGTAGTATGCATACTTATGGCACTTTTTTCTGAAAAGAAGCACTGTTTGCTATTAGGTAGATGTGTAAAAAGACCTTTCCATGCTGTTCTAAGTTATGCTAGTCATGAGACTGTAATCAGCTAGTGTCTTCAGAAAAGCATATTTACAAAAGAGAAAAGCATAAACGATAAAACTCTTCATCCAAAAGTCTTTCCCTGCTCCCATGTGCTTTCTACTAGAAACACTTCATCGCTATTAATGTTTAAAATTTTTGAAAGAGATACTTAAGACAGTGAAGTAACTTATTCCCACTACTGTATTGACAGTGAAGTAACTTATTCCCACTACTGTATTACAACCTTTTCCTAGAGTGAAGTTTTCCAGTTGCTGAGTATATGGCATTATGAACATGCATGGTATTTTCATTAAATGGACACCTGATGTTCATTCCAACTGTTATGAAATAAAATAAAACTACTTACCTCTTCACAGCTCTTGCTATGAAATCATCACTACAACTTAGAGCTGGATCTTGAGGATTTAACTGAAGGTGACAGTGGACTTCTCTGGAGGTTATAACATCAATCATCACTAAGAAGGAACAGAACAAAAAATGCTTGTTTTGAAATAATTACAAAGATTGAAAACCATCCTTTCATTTTGATGCTCAAAGAGACGTAAGACTGAAGTCAGTGGACAGGGGTTTGCAGCAACGCATTTGCATGACATGCTTTTTCCTAATACACTTAAATCACAAATAGAAGTTACCATTTATTAATTAAATGCAGGCCAAGACAAAACAGGATTTGAATATTTGCATTTGCTTTCTGTTTTATTCTGAGTACAGAATACCTTTTAGTAAGCAGTTTATACACAGGTGCAACTTTGTGTTTTTCATGGCCTGCACACCATTGAGAGTGGCCCTTAGAATGTACTTGTTACTGAGAAGCATAGCGCAAGAGCCTAGATAGAACCAAGTCCCTTGCCAGCTGAGTAAAGAGGACAGTATCAATTATTCCACACATACCACAGGCTAAATTCTCTTTCACAGGATGAAGGAAAAAGACACAAAAGCTGGTGTTCCTGTGTGGTACCACTTCAAAGTAAAGCAGTTCTGAATCATCTAGAAATAAAATTAGTGTTTAGTGATATCCACCCATTGAATCTGGGCTCTTTTTGGCTGAAACATATGCCAGAATTTAAAAAATACTGATGCAGTAGAATCTAATTATTCATTACTTTGACAGCTTAGTTTATGCTTATAGATGTGTCAGGCCTAGGAGATAGTAAAAAAAAAAAAAAAAAAGAAAAAATGCAATACAGTGTTAAGAATTTTTTTATCATTTACAGTACTTCACAAGTAATGACAGTTTTGGCAAGGGAGCAGTAAAATCTGTTAACACCCACCTTAGAAGCTAGTTTCTCTCTAATACTCTGCCATCACGTCCAACCACACAATTTACCTTCATTTATATGCTTGTCAGAGACACAGCTGCTAATAAGAGTGTTATATGCCACTTGATGTCGAAGAATCTCTATTACGCCAGGCACACACTTTGGATGGCTAAATGGGATTTTACTGACCAAGGCTCCTGCTAAATCTGATTTTTCTGAGCCTTTGTTTATGAAGTAACAGTGCTTTGGGCAATCTGGAAGAGACTAATCAACAATTATGGTGATATTTCAAGCACTGAAAACAGGAAAGTAAAGTTTGATGTTAGCAGGCAACTGCAAAATCTGACAAAAAGAATAATTTTGAAATATACATTTCTAACATGTCCATCATGTCTCTGCATTTCAGTAGAAATATAATGCTTAGATAAGGAAGCTAAATGAGATCCACTGTCCCTCCCAAACGCATTCAAATTAGGTGAATATACCTAGAGCCAAGTGGTCAGGAGTTCAAGTACCATCAATCCTTCCAACTATTTTTAAGAGCCCTGTAGGCTATAGAAATGTTAGAGAAAATAGAAAATGTTCTATAACAGTTGGAATGACAATAATAATAAATACTAAATAATAATTCTATTCTACAACATATATTGTTATATTCTACAACAATAGAAATAGAAATATGATGGAATACGTTCTATCAACCAAGATTTACTCTCACAATAATATCATAGTAGTGCTGTTTGACAGTTGCACAAAAAGGATAGCAGTTTTGCCTGAAATCTCTTCTGGACATCATATGTTGTTCCTCCCTCCATCACTACTACTTTCTTTGGAGAAGCATGTTTTGCTGGAATATCTCCTGATGATTCATTTGTAGAGGAGGAAATGATAGTAAGAAAAATTTGTCACCCATCCACATTGACAGTGATTCTGTGACAAAGTTAGAAGGGCAATATTGTGTTATCTACTTCAGGATGCCAAATGGGACCTATCACCTTAAGAACAGGGTAGGGCTGTTAATTAGCAGGGTCTACATTAAGAAAAGCTGAAGAGCAGAATAAAAGAGCTTTTCCTTGTGTGTTCGTGGAGCAAAAGGATTTCCCCTACACTTATTTCAAGGTTAGAGTGCAATTTTGTAATTTATTCTAGAAATAAAATATTTAAACTCAGAAGTAAAACAATCTCCCAGCAAGTACTAATATTTTAGGGAATTTCTGAAAAGTTAAAGAGCCTTTCATGTGTATCTAATACAAGTGAAAGATTAATTTCATCCAGTTTTACAGATAAGAGCTTTGCCAAACATTACTTTAGCATGGTGTAAACTTACTACTACCTTTTGTACTACCGCCTCAAAGTCCAAGAACTAAGTAGGCAATGGGCTCTGCTAACACTGCTAGTGGAACAGAAAAAAGTACCCTCTTATTTTGTTGCCATGATCTGCAAAATTAATGTTACCTAGCAAACAAAAAAGTACATCTTTGAAGCTTGTCTTGTAGTTGCCCTGTATGTAAGCCTGGCGGAAGGCATCTCAGCTACGATTTTCTATTCTAAAATTTTACATCTAACGCAGCCTATTTTTAATAATGCAGTTATTAAAAGGGAAGCCTTCTTCAGTTAAACAACCTTGTCTCTAGACAGCAATTGACATCGCTAGTTTAACACTTTATAGTTTTCTTCCTGCCAATCCCTTTAAAAGAAATCAGTATTCTCAGTGCTATCTAATTAAGAAATCTCATTTGTTAAAATAGTGTGACATACAGCATGATAAAGACCTTCAAAAATCTAGGTAAGTACCTTCTTGGGACTTGCTCCTCACACCAGTCAATAAGTTTCCTTCTTTTTAAGGCATTAATGATAAAGTTCTGAGCAATTTTTAGAAGAATAAATATTTAGGTTACACACAGACAAATCAGTGTGACTTCGGGAGCCAAGCATACAGTGTTTCATTAACAAGGATGAGAAACTCACTTACTTGAAAGGATCTAATATTGTTTCATAATTACTTGAACTGTTTCCTAAAGAGCACTTAAATACTGTTGGGTTCTGGTAAGTCTACATTGCTTGTTTATGGGGAAATATAATTTGGTATACATATTTTGCACAACAGCACAGTGTGTGTCAAATGCCCACTATACTCACCACAAAGAAACAAGATTCATTTGCAGACAAGTCTTCCCTGCATTTTTCTTTTAGAGCAGACCAAGCAATTAGCTCATACAGTGGAGCTAGTTTCAAGCCAGAAATCTGAATTCCTGAAACCAGGTGATTTTTTTTATTATCAATTAGGTTATGACTGTAGGTTATGAAAGCTAATATTAAAAACAAAAGTAATGTTTTGAAAAGACAAAACCATTGATCTCTTTTCTTATTCCCCTTTTTTTGCTATTGGGAATTTGAGGTAGAGTGTTTTTAACAGCTTTGTCCATAATTGTCATGTCTGTCTTAGAACTTTTGCGCTTTGCACTGGTTGCTAAAATGTTACACTTCAGCTGATAAGATAGACTGTGTTCTGCCCCCAAAACAACCTTTTCCTCTTGCAACATTAACACTGGGAAATAAAAAGCAAATAAGCAATGCACAGAAGTACTTAGTCTTAAAAAACAATTATAACATGCCTGTGAGCCTGTGTATATCTTCAATACTGGATGAGGACATAGGAACAGGCTGATGAAACTTCAGCACAAAAAGAGCTGGCAAATCCATGCTGAGTTCATCAGTCAGTTGCAAAAAAGCAGGGTTGCTGGGAAAAAAAATTGTCATAATGAAACTTTCTCTACAGAAATTGCCAGTCCAAGAACTCTTAGTGCAAGGCCACTATCAGGTCCCGAGCAGTTTATTATATTCCAGACTTCTGACTTGAGAAAAGTTTTGCTTTATAAATGCAACTTTAACATATTAAAACATGCTTAATGTGAAAACTGGCAGAAAGAAAAAGTGAGACACCTGAAACGGAGTGATGTTTGCTATAAATCATTCCAAAGTATTTTATTTTGGAAAGTTACTTCAGACATTCCCTCCATCCAGCACTGAGGTAGAGAGAGAGAAGGTATCAACACCCACAGTGGGACAACAAACTATTTTGTGTATTTTAGGTGTAGTATCTTTCAATATATGCTTTCTTTGCTCTGAAACTATGAAGGAGTTGATTGTTGAATACTAGGAAGTTAGGTAGTATTGTTCCAGTGGCTTGCTCTGGCTTCCAATCTATGAATAAATCCACAGTTCAATGCAACTGACACAGTTAAATATGAACACAATACCTTTAAAGTCCTTTTGGGAAAACTGTAAAAACCACAGATTATAGAGGGTTTAGCTATGGAACATAATGCCATCAATAAAACAGAGCTTCCTGTTTTAGCAGAGGCTAAATCTAAGTTACGCTGAAGTGAGTGCAGATGAATTGTAAATCCATTTCTGTACTGAGAAGAGTCCAGAGCCTCACCTGTCCTCTCCAGATTGAGGATCTACAATCAGTGGAGAAAGAGGAAGTTTGTGGAGCATATCAGTGCCTTCAATAGTTACAACTGTTTTTGTTCCACAAACCTGGGAACCTGAGGGAGAAAGAGAATTGCATTATGTTCCTCTTTTCAGTGTAGATTAATCCTATGTATGAAAAACATGCAAGGTCCTTGAAGGTCAGGTCCAACTGACAGCCACGGTGATGCAGGCAGAGAGAAGTCTGCACAGATCACACCCAAAAAGCCAAAGTTGCCTAAAGATGATAGCAGCAATAGCCTCTTTTGAGACACACCATGAAACAGATCAAAAACATCACCAGTCATTTTTCATGCTGAATTAGGCAGTTTTTTGTTGGATATCACTACAGTTTGAGTCAATATCCAAGAAATGGAAAGTAGTTTCCTGATGGACACTAAAATTGTGCTAAAGTGCATCTCATAAATAGTTCTACTAAATTAGAATTTTATTTCTTAGTTTCATTAATTAACTTTGCTTAATGAAACAGGTAGCACTGAAAAACTTATCAGTTATTTCTGCTTTTCTAGCTTTACCAGGATTTAGTTCTGCTTCCAAAATTTGATAGGGAGAAATGTAAAATTCAATGTTCATAGGAGTTCCTGAGGAATAAAAAAAGAAAAATAATGTTTACTACAAAGGTCAGAGGAAATACGTTAAATACCTTGAAACAATGGTGAAAAAATCCAACAGTGTAGATGGGCAGAGGGGATTCCTCGTAATAGTGCATCTCTAATTACAATTTATGTTCAAATCACAGGATTTTCTTAGCATATGAGAGCTAAACCCTCCATGTATAAATCATCAGATATCTTTGAAATCATCAGATTAAGTTAATTTCTCTTGCACAACAGCCTTTTGTTCAGCCTTAAAAATACTAGCTGAACTTCTAGCTTTCAGTGAGTACTCCAAAATAAAAGGGAAAGTTGCACTACTTGCATAAGGGACACGAGCTGTACAACAGGATAGTGGCAACATGTATTAGAAGTACTTTTCTGAACTATAACACATTAATGGTTAAAGCTCACTTCTGACAGTGCAGATGAGCCAAAAAACTTATCAACTGGCTATATTTGCCTTTTAGGCAACCAGAGCATTCTCTCAGTTACTGCTGCTGTCATGTCATGGTTACTCCCAAACTGTGGTTTCCCACCTAATCTCCGAATATTGATGGCTTTGCTTTTAGGCTGCTGCAAAGTCAATGTTGCAGCAGCTGATAAACCACCTGGCCTCCCTGTATTTTCTCCTTCTGTATGTCTGTACATTATCTGAGAATACAGGTACAGTAAATCCCTACAGCAAGTTTTATTTATAATAGTGGATCTTTCCTGTAAACAAAGATCAACTCGGAGGGGTTTTTTAATTACAATCCTTTGAATTTGGAAAAGGGAAAAGAGGGAGAAAAAAAAAATCACCTCCAGTTCTTGGCACCAGGTGTCCTACTTTTCCATGAAGTATTTCAGTAACTCTGTTTACATCCTGTGTTCTAGTTCAAAACACATCTTGATTAGTGTTTCCTGAGTTGCAGTACTAGCTAAGCTAACGTAAACCATAATTTGTATTCTTAATCAAAGGGAGATGATGCTTTCTTGCAAGTAGATTGTGTCTCCATTTGTTATGACATCTTCCAAACACCATCATTCCAATCATACATTACTTTTAGGACCTGGGCTTCCAGTTTCAACCCTGTATCTGAGCTGTTTCATGTTGCACTTTGATGTGCTATTTACCAGACATGAAGGGAGTCAAAAGTGTTAGAGTGGTAATTGGTTAAGCAAAGAATGAGGAAATAACCTAGATAAGCTAAAACAGAACCAGTCTCTAACCTCAAATGTGTTCATATAGCTGAATACATACAGCCATACATTTACATAGCTGTGTACTAAAGCTCTGCATTGCAGATGGGATCTATTTAACTCATAAATAATACTTACTGAGATCAGTGACCAGCAAGGATACAGTATATTAGTTCACAGTGTTATTATGCTTCATAAGGGAACACTGTGCAAAAATAAACCAAGAGTGTGTTTCAAGAAGTCTATACCTGCCAAGAGTACTTAATAGGCAAAATATCAGAAAAGATACTTCAAAAATCCAGAAGGAAAACATTGCCCTCAATTCTGATTTTCTGAAAAGAATGAAAAACCTTGTACAATTACAAGGCTTTAGAAAAATCTGTTCCCCATCCACTGTAATCCTAGTCTTTGAAAGGAGAAATGAGAAAAGGAAGGAGGACAGCTAGCATCCACAACTCCTGAGCTAAAACCTGAGCACAAATTGAGGTACCTAAACAGCAGGACTCCAAAAGGTATATTTTTCTTCTGCCACAGGACAATCTAAACATGACAGCTGACTTTCAGATTCACTGTTTGCTCCCAGTGGGTGGTCACATGCACACACACCCAAGCTCTGCAACCAACTAGTTTCCCAGAAAGTCTTAGGTAAAGCACAGGAGTTCAGTAGATCTTGTTTGGCATGCCTGGTGTTGACAAACTGCAGAAAAGCTTCGAGCTTTCCAGTGGGAGAAAACTCATTAGCATTCCATATCGTTTTATATAATTAGATCAGTTAACTTGTTCTTTAGTGAAATGAAGGGGTGGAGGTGGAGGTAAAGGGACAGACTTTAAGTTACCTGCCCAGAAGAGACATTGAATAAAGGTCTTTTTCAAGGGCCTGCAAAGCAAGATACCCCTTAGCTTTCATTTCACTGGGAGAGAGAGAAGACAGTTTATTATTTTTGTAAGTAAACAAATGCAAGGCTATAGATTTTAAAAGTTTTTCAAGTAAAAACTAGCTGCAACCTGTTTCCTGGAATTTGATACATATTTGACAGGTCTTCTAAAATCTTTCCAAAGGCATCATAGTTCTTCATCCTAACAAAAAGAAATAATTGCTATTACACTACTAAATGAGATGGAAAATAACTCTTTTATATGCAACTTGCTAGAAAAAGCATAATTTCAGAGGTGTTTCCTCCTTATCAGATCTGGCAAGTAGCAGTACTGCTTTTTAAGTTTCTTAGAAAATACCAGGAAATGTGAATCCTTATTTTTGTTGCAAGAAGCACTATGATTATAGCTGAAACTACCACTGAAATAGGCACTACTAAAAGCAATAAACATACATGAGACAAAATTTGACAGCTCATCAGTTGCAAAACACTTTTCTTGATGTTCCAATAAAGTTTGTCATTCCCTTAATGCCACATGTGTACATTGTTCTCTTCATCAAAATACCAAGTATTGTATTAATGCTGCACTTCACAGCACCCTGTGAGAGACGCCCTCAATATAATTGATAAAATAAAAAAAAAAAAATTGGACAAGTGGCTTGGTTTATGAAGGAATGGTTCAGACTGCTCAAACCCCAGAATTCCCACAGATATCACAGACTAGCTGTGATAGCTGGAGCTCTGCTCAGACTAACCCACCAGGTATTAACTCACCTGCTTCAGTAGATTTTACTGAGTTTTACAGGTCTTAGTAGATTCTCTGGTGCTGCAGTCATGCCAACAGCTGTACTCAAGAAGACCTGTGTAGATGCAGCTACAACGTGGATCACCAGAGAAAAAAGAAGCCTGCCTGGACTTTCACAGGAACCTAAACAAGTCACTCAGCTCTTGCATGTCTCTTTCCAATTGGACTAGTGGGGAGGCAGGCAGGCAAGCATGCTACAGGCACAGCACCAGCCTATGCATTAGCTGGCTGGTTCATCACGATTTCATAGTTACTTTGAGACTCACAGGAAACATTACACATAAAACAAACTGCCTTGCAAACAAATAAAATACTACACCAAAAGGCATAGAAGGTATACTTGTGCTTTTTGACAAATCCTAACAAAACCAAGAGGGCAGACAAGTAGTACCCACAGTACCATTGGTAATGATATTCGCTCATAGCCAAAACTTCCAGCAGTTAACATCACTGGAAGTCAAAAATCTAGGAAAATGCAAGTTAAAGCTCTAAGACATAGCTGTTGATACCCATTAAGCTAATATAACTTCATTTCTGAGGAAAGAGAAGGCTGGGAAAACTGATAATGCATAATAGGTCCACTTAGAAGAGAGATGAAACACTCAAGGTCAATGATATTCTTTCTCTCTCTACCTTCCTTTTCAACTATTCTGCCAAGGTATTTACAGAAGAATCCAATTTCTTAAATATACTTATTATTAGTAAAACCTGGAACTGTGATCATACTGGCTAGAGAATTTCTAAATAGATGTTTAAAGTGGTGGCCTGACCTGGAACAGCAACTATTCAGACAGAACAAAACATGGTAATAATAATAAAAGAATGTATATATAGTGCCCTATTACCACATGAGAAAATTCAAGTAACATGTCCTTCTATGCATTTGCAAACAAACTCAGGCCATGTAATACCAGCTTGCTTTCATTGCTGTGACAGAAACCTGATGGACACGTAATTTAAAACATTTGCATAAGGACAATACAAAGACTATTTGATGGAAGGAGAAAGGGAAAAGTAATATCTAGTTTGGATCTGTCAATCTGCCAGTTCTGAATTGTCATCATCAGTCCATTACCAAAACTATGGGTTCAATTATAAGTTCTATAATTCTTGCAATCAACACAAATGCCAGTATTCAAAGGCTGTGTTCAACTGGCAACTACAGCCAATGTATTGAGGAGTACTCTTTATCCTTTCTCCATTGATACAGATGCATTTTAGCTGTTTTCAGTGGAGAAACTTGAGAAATAAGTAATGCCTGGAGTATATTTTCAAAATTAATTTTGCTACAGTTTTAGCCTTGAATTTACAAATCGGAAGCAGGTAATAACAGATATAATGACCACCAACTTCCAATATGGAGCACTGGAAGCAACTACCCACTTAAATGGAATCCAAAAAGGCGTCAGTCCTGTCATTTTCTGGATTCATATTTTTGGTTCCTGATTCTCTTTTTATTTTTTCTCTTCAGTTTTTACAATGAAACCATTCTAGCCTCAGGCATTCCTTTCCATTCAACAAGAGACCCTGCACATGGTTGTTTACCTTAGAAGCTGCACCAAGTCATCACAAACCTACAAGAATAAGAGAGGAATTTGATCATTCTTGCCATCCTTTGTGAAGCATCTCTTAAAAGCATTTAATTGGTAATGATAAGCTTGTTCCCCATTACTTTTAAGTAGCGGAATGGTTTGCCTAAAAAAACCCCAACACATAAACCAGACTAACAGTACAATAGTTAAAACATAATATTACTCTAATAATTGGAAGAACAAAGGCTCTGTGAAAGAAGATAAAATTAACAGAAATAGTTTGTTGATAAACCTCTTTCCAGAAAAAAAAAAAACAATGCATCTTAGCCAGCCCAGTTTTTTTTTTATTGGCTGTTACAGTGCTAGAATTCTCTGGGTATGCATTTCCATCCAGCATTCACTGATCAACAGCCCTGTGCTGTTTAAACAGAACAATTTGAAATTCCTGGGCTGACTGCAACTAAAAATAAGGGACAAAGTTAACTTCAAAGTAATGTAATAATTTGGATACTTACTGATAAAAGACAGACTTTATAATCCTGCCCCCCCCCACAGCTTGTTATATCTTTGATCTGAAGGACTGTCTATAACACTTAACAACTGAGGAACATGGTATGTGAACTTCAGGGTGATATTTTGTGGATAATGGAAATTTTGCAAGAAAAACATCCCCACTAGTAGGAATACACAGACTCTTAAAGAAGGCAGAAGGAAAAACAGAATAGCTCCAAGACATCCATTGAGATTACATATTTCCTTAGTAGGAAAATACTTAAAACACCTGTTATTTACTGTACACTGCTAACACTGAGGAGTGAGAATACAAATATTTAGGGGGGATACCACAAAATTTTTGGAAGGTGGGCATGTCAGCTGACTTTTACCATAATATTTAGCACTAGAGTATTTAGTATTTGTAACCGAGTTCTAAGTCTAGGTGAGAGATTCAGATGCCTAAAGAAGTACTTAGTGTCATGTACAGGCTTGCAGGTGTGACAAGACCAAAAGGAAGTCAAAGCCTTTCTGACATGGCAGCTGGAGGCCAGGTGAGAGACTACAAGGAGATGAGAGACAGAAAATTAATTTTACCACAGGAGCTTCTCCAAAGTGAGCCAACTTTACGTCCATCAGACTTCCATCCTTCTCCAGCTGAACTTCTAAATAAAACATCATTGATGTTATGTAGCAGGCAGTCCCACTGGGACTAACATGAACATTAAGTCTGAGGAGAGGAAAAAGAGAAAAAGGGAAAAAAAAAAAAGCTTGTATATCTATAAATTCTGACACATGAAGAAAGGAAATGGGGATAGTTCACTTGATCGTGGGAAGAGACACCAGGGATGCTTCAAAAATAACTCTTCCTTAGCTCAGCTTCTGAAAACGACCCAACCAGGCAATATATTTGTGCTCTGTTCTTTGCATTATCCTGTTGATCTGCTGAAAACTATTAAGCTCAGTCTGCAGCTTTGGGACCTAGGCATTCCTGTCCTCTCTTCACCCAACAACCTCCTCTACAAAAGGCTAAACAAAATAGGCAGTTATGCCAGTTCCAAGTAATACATTTCATTAGAACACCAATTCAAAAATAATATTGTTGACAAGCCATCCAGATGGTATTTCTCACTGGACTTGAGGCCATGCTTGCTCATTTGCATTTATGAATAAACAAACTTACCCTTTTTGTCTGGATAAAGATTCCAATGCATTCATCACAGAAAACATGGATTTAGCTGCAAAAAACAGAAATGCAATTTAATCAGACTGCAGTGAGCAAGAAGTAGAATCAGTTTTATCCTGCTTTAAATGGTATGATTTAGGTAATGAGAAAATAGCGTTGCATTAATGAGTTGTTATTAATGACAACTATTACTCTAGGATTAATAAGTGCTGTGCTGGGTAGAGATTATTCTCAGTATTTAAGAATAGCTATTACCTGAAAGTTTAGCCCAAAAATGAGTCACAAGTCCCTTGTCTCATATCCACCTCTGTGTTTGTACATTTGACCCCTTTGTGCAGAACATCAGCAACAGAAAAGGATGGGGAGATTCCATAGAATGCTAAAAGTACACTTTGAGTTATCCGACAGCTTATTACCATGTAATGTCCTCTCTATCTTCTCCATGCAAGAAAGCAATGGACTGTCTGGAGCATGGCTGACAGGCCTTCGCAGTGGGTTATCCTAGCACATTTGTGAAAACAAGAGACAGACTCCTTAAAATACTAGCTAAGAGACACAGCACAGATTCTCAGTACTACAAAACACTGGTTATTTGTTTTTGTCAAACAGAGGTTTACCTATGATTGTAGTCATCTCTAAAGAGGCAGCACTGAATGGATTTGTGAAAACATTATACCAGATGCCTTTGGAGCAGGGAGCAGCTTTCCATTCCCTTTTCTTTTGAGCTGATCACAAGACATGTTAGCTAATTTCATTGTGATGCTAGAGATAAACTAAGAAAATACTTGTTTGTGTTTTCATTTTAGAAGGATTATGCCTGAGTGAATAGAAGAGATCATTAAGTGCCACAGGTGTACTTGGTTAGAGTATAGTGAAAGTTTCAGCTGAAGACAGGCACTTAAAGTAGCAAGCAAACTCTCCCAGCTTCTCTTCAAGCTCTTGTCTGAAAACTTCTCATACTTCACACTTCAATTCACAGAGAACATTCACTGCTGAAGAGTTTTCACTATGTTCAAATTCAGGACACTGTTTTCAGAGCAAGGCTTGAGTTAAACATTAATAAAAAGAAGCATGAAAACAAATGGGACTTTTTATACTAAGCTCATCTGTTGTGCTCATCTGCTTTTTACAAAGATGATTCTTAAAGTAGCTACTGGAAGGACAGGAAGCCTGGAGTGACTTAAGGTACGTCACAGCAGGAGAAAGTCTAGATAGCAGGTTTCAGACCAGTTTTTAAAAAACAGTATTTTCTCCCAGTCCTATGGGCAATAAATTGTCTTTACATACCATGAATATTGGTAATGAGAATGAATGGAAAATAACCTAAAGTATTAGATAATCAGCACTAACTCCTGAATAGTTAAAATAATGCAAGAAGCAACCCCGAAAGTGTTAAAATTAGTCAGGAAAATTTTTGTATCCATTGTTGTAAGAAAAATCAGGAGCCAGGCTATACTAGGCACCAGGTTTTTGATGGGGTTTTCTTTCGCTTGTTTTTGGGTTGAATTTTTTGTTTGGTTGGCTTCGCTTGTTTATTTTTTACAATCAAGCAGTTTTTTAACTACCTTGACAACCTGCTCTTACACTACATATCCTTCTCACCTAACCTGTGATTCTTACCATGCAAAAATAAACAAGTCTCAGCGTTTCAGTCCACGGCCTTTGTTGGTATTTTAAACACAACTGTTCCATTAAAGCATTTGTAGAAATAGCTGTCACAACACCTGAAAAACACGTCAAAATTCTCTAAATATAATGGCATGTATTTATATTGGCATCTAGAAATGCAGGAGGAAGAAAAATATAAAACCTTGCTAAGGTCATAGATGTTATGCTTCAAAGGAGGAGGTAGAAAGAAAATCTTTTGTTGAATTCTGCACACAAATATCTAATTTCTGTAAGACTTTTGACAGAAAATGGGTAGGGGAGATTTTGTATGGGCAAGTATTCTCAATATGAAATACAGATATGCAGCCCTCTCTTCAGCTTGTTAAACAATTAGACTTTCTTTACCTATGCACAATTTCATATGTGTATTCTTAATAAATACCAAGGCCCTGCTTTGGATTTGAGACATCCAGATTTGTACACCCACCTCGAGCTCATTGTAATTAGAGATAATTTTTTTATGATGAGGGTGTTGAGATATTAGAACAGGTTGCCCAGAGAGGTGGTTTATGCCCCATCTCTGCAAACATTCAAGGCCACGTTGGATGGGGCTCTGAACAACCTGACATAGTTGAAGATGTCCTTGCTCATTGCAAGGAGGTTAGAAGAGATGGCCTTTAAAGGTCCCTTCAAACCCAAACTATCCCATGATTTTGCAGAGGATAATCTCAATGCAGAGGTGCAATGTGTTTTTTGGTGTGTTTTTTTTTCATTGGGACAGAATGAGAATGGGGCCAGGAGAAAGAATGTTTTCGGTCCATCACCTGTCTCCTTATAAATATTCTTTCTGGCCTTACACAGAATCCAGAAGTACAAAAAAAGTTTTTGCTGAGATGTGGTACTTCCATAGCCATTAATTCCATCAGGAATAAACCTGGAGTGAATTTCCTAATACATCTAAGACAGGTAGGAAAACTCCAAAATGATTAACAAGAAATTGAGTCCCTGCAGCCTGCCACCCGCTCTGCTCCGCCCCACAGAACCAGAAGAAATATTACAAAGGGCTTCTAGCAGGCACAAAAGCTGCAAAGAATTGTCCCTTGGAGCACTGCATGGGGAATGTCTACACCATTTGCATACACGAAGGAGGGATAGTGATCAGGCCACCCCAACTAGTTGGAGAAAGGGGAAGCAACAGACCCCCACTAACTCTTGCAAGCACCTTTACTCAGTGACATGCCCCCACTAATGTTCCTACTTACCCATACATTCATGCTGACAGGAAAACTGCAACCCACCCTGTATATCCATTCACACTGTAAGAAATCAAGGCTCCTACTTGTAGCACCTGCACCACAACACCCCAGGTGTGCAGAAGGCTTGCTCTCAAAATAATAGTCCTCAGGTGTCAGTGTTTGAACCTGAGGCTAGATAAGCACAGCAACATCAACTCTGCTACTTTTTAGAAGGCATACCCTATCAGCCATTCTCTTCCACACCTAGGTCTGCAGAGATGGCATAATGTTTGTCCCCATCTTTTCAGAAGGTGTAGTATTCTCAGAAAGAGACTGAGTTTAACTGGCTGAGAAAGGCAGGGGGAGGTATAATAGCAACAATCACTCAGCAAAATAGGCAAGCAATCCATATGGAAGCCTTTAGTCCAGCTCAGAGGTGAAAGGAGTTAAAAAAAAAAAAGGTAATATAGCTATCTCTAATATTTGTGTGTTGTATTTCACAGAATCACAGAATATGCTGAGTTGAAAGGGTCCCACAAGGATCATTGAGTCCAACTCTTAGCCCTGCGCAGGACCATCCCCAAGAGTCATACCATGTGCCTGACAGTATTGTGTAAACACTTCTTGAACTCTCTCAGGCTTGGTGCTGTGACCACTTCCCTGGGGAGCCTGTTCCAGTGCCCAACCACCTTCTAGGTGAAGAACCTTTTTCTAATATCCAACCTAAGCCTCCTCTGAGACAAGTCTGGGCCATTCTCTCATGTTTCGTTGCTGATCACCAGAGAGAAGAGATCAGTGCCTGCCCTTCCTCTTCCCCTCAGGAGGAAGTTGTAGACTGCAATGACGTCTCCCCTCAGTCTCCTCTTCTCCAGGTTGAACAGACCAAGTGACCTCAGCTGTTCCTCATACAGCTTCCCCTCAAGGCCCTTGACCATCTTCATTGCCCTCATTTGGACACTCTCAAACAGCTTAATATCTTTCCTATATTGTGGCACCCAAAACTGCACACAATATTCAAGGTGAGGCCACCCCAGCTCAGAGCAGAGAGGGACAATCCCCTCCCTCAACTGGCTGGTGATGCTTTGCCTGATGCCCCCCAGGATGCAGTTGGCCCTCCTGGCTGCCAGGGCACTGCTGACTCATATTCAACTGGCCATCAACCAGGACCCCCAGGTCCTTTTCCATGGCACTGCTTCCCCAGTCTGTCCATACATCCAGGGTTGCCCCATCCCAGGTGCAGAATCATGCACTTTCCCTTGTTTAACTTCATACGGTTAGTGATTGCCCAGCCCTCTAACAATATTTCTATACTGCTGATTGCCATTAATATACTCGAAAAAACTATTTTTATTGTCCCCCACATTTCTGGCCAGCTTCAACTCCAGCTGAGCTTTGGCTGCATGAATCTTCTCCCTACAGCAGCATCATCTCTGAATAGATATTTGTGTATCGTTTTGTGGCCACCTCATGTTGCTAGTCTGCTTCTACATAGGAATCTACAATGGCAGTGGGAGGTTCAAGGTTTAATCCTGGACCTTTGTATAGGCAGTAGCTTGAAATGTGTTCACTGGGAAATGCCAGGTCTACAGCAAGAAAAGCATGTCTCCTGCATAAACCCTGGGTGGCAGTGTTTCAGGATACCTTTCAGCATACTTTCTGGTATCAGCTGTCACCAGTCATGCAGCACTGCCTGAAATAGTCTCATATCACATAAAAGAGGTGATTTTGGATTTGTATGTAGGAACCTGAGTAGAAACTAAATAGTTCGTTAGCCTCACCAAGATTACAGAAAAAAATAAGCATGGGTCTAGGAATTCCAGAAGTATAAGATACGTGCCAAAAAGTGGGATTTGTCTCCAGACAAGTGTCAAGCACACTACTTAGGGAAAGTCAGTGCAGATGACGGAGTTAAATATGTTTGCATTGCAGCTTTACAAATGTGATCAAGTAAATTAATGATGTAATTCCACGCTTGCGGTAGATCACACTTCCCTAAAATTATTGGCTTGGTTTATACTATTAAATATTCATTATTTTTAAACCTGACATTAACAGTGACTATAGGTATAATCATGAGCTTTACCTGTGACTTGGTGCATGCATTTTAAAACATGTTTTCAGCATTTCTAGGGAGGCATTTTAGCTTAGGTTTGCTTGACCAATGTATTGAAATGTTTTCTGCTGAGCAAGAACATGTGCTATCCCTCATGTAAAACAAGTAGGTTACCTCAGTCCAGATCATGTGAATGGGCATGTGCCCATAAGACATACCACAACTTGGTAGTGTTTAATATTTTTGTGGTATATTTCATAAATGTTTGCCCAGATCCAGAGCTCCTTGGAGTCTCTGTGATCTTGATACTGACTCCAGTGGTTTGATCACGTCCTGAACAAGCAGAAAAGTAAACTATTTGCTGACTCTCTTGAAGAGAACACTTCCAAAATAATGGAAGGAAACATTCCACTGCTTACCTTGTCTGCATAATAGCTGTTCTGCAAATAAACAGCAAACTTGAAGTTTAATTAGTCACGGTCCAGCATGGCTGATAAGCCTAAAACACACTTTAATTTTTAAACACAAAAAAGCCTTTTCCATTGTGCTCAAATGTATGTATTTAGGTAAATAAATCTGCATCATTTTTCCAGGATAGGGACAGTACCAGATTGTCATACAAGACAAATAGTAGCACTTACATAAAATTGTAGCATTGGCTAAAATCGCACATGAGAAACAGCAGCTTAAGGATTGTCAGAAAGTTCCTTGGAATGAGGTGTTGTTCCAGTATTCAGAACCATCATATCAAATTACTGCACTCAAGAGGCGAGTGAAGAGTGATGAATAATTAAAAATGTTCTAATTATAGCTTCTCAGGCATATTAAATACACAAATGTTTAGCTGGCTCATTTCATAGGAAAAAAATCCTGAATGCCCACTGCTCTAGATTACTCTCTCTCTGACCATCAAAAACTGTTCCTGAAAGAATCTTTCATGTGCACAGTGACTAAATAAGTTGTCCCCAGAGAAAATCTTCTCTTGCTCTCAAATAATTGCTGGTTATCTTACCCCTTTTGAAGGGTAAAACTGGTATGCTTCTTCAAGCACCTTTTGAGAAATTAATTATTACTATTTGGCTTATTGTGTCATGGTTTTCCACATCTTGCTAAATTCCTGACTCTAATATGCTTCACAATGCATGTCCTGTGAACATTGTGATTCATACGCAAATAGCATTTTGTAATTTCATAGTTCTAACATTTCTGATGATTTTTTCATTTCACAGAGTGGTAATTTGTTTTTCTTAGAAAGAATCAACATATTTTCCACTCATATTCTTGCATGAATTCAAGCAAACTATTTGTTTCAGTGAAGATACTCTAGATTTACTACAGAACAAGAGAAAGCTTTGCTTACTGTTAATACAGCTTAATGATAGCAGTTTGGAAAATACTCCAAGTATTCCATAATCAGTGCAATACTGGTGTATTTTTTTGTTTCTGGTTTCTTTTGGTGGGCTGGGAGTTGCTCTTTTCTATTAATCTTATATCTAGCCTTGATTTTTTTTTTCATCTGAAGAATAAAAATCAAAATAAATCATCAGCAGTATATCTTCACTGGCCTGCTTCCAGTGGTTTCTTGGAATTGCATCTTTCCAGAAGCCGTCAGCTGAACTGCTGACCAGAGAAAACAGCAGCTACATAACAGCCCACAGTAAGCCTAAATACAGAACTCGGGCCTGGAGCAGTCAGTGAAAACCAGTGGTTCTAGTTAGAATGGCAGGATGTGTAAGAATTGTCGCGCTGATTATGAGATCAGAGGTAAAAATGTGTTCTTTCACAAAGTGCCATAGGATTTTAGAGTGATCAGCAGTGATAGGGCATG